TTGAACTTGTTCAAGTTGGATCGCAGATTTTTCTTCATATAATCCTTACATCCAGATTCATAGCCACAACTCCGCGCAAGCTTAAACGTGCGACCAACCCTTGGCCGTTTCAATTTTATTTCTATTATCCCAGTCATATTCTAATTCTTGTGATAACTATTACTTATTCAACAATCAATCCTTTGATATTGATTTTTGCACTTGTATACTATGCAGTCGCCCTTGTTGTATTTAAACATCAATTTGCTTATTGTTATGTGCGACGATATGAGGCTGGAGGGAAATTTTATCGGCGTGTTTTTCGTTACACTACCGATGGATTGATTATATTTCAGTTAACTGTTCTTGGTGTGATTTGGCTTCGTAGAGCAATAACTCAAGGTGCTTTGCTTGTACCACTTATAATAGCTACTGGATATTTTAAATATTATTGCCATAAGACATTTTATTCTAGAACCAATTATCTGGCTCTAGATGCACGTTCAAACCAACAACAAATTAAAGAAGATCCACCGACTCCTAAAAAAAGCCAATCAGAAGAAGCTATTGAATTATCAAAAAAAGAAGTAGATGAAAAATATCAGATAAACATTAATGCTCCTGAAAATATTAATAAGGACATGTCATCACAAATGATAGAAACTAATGCTGATAATGTAGTTGTTAAACGTATAATAAATGATGAATCTCACGGTAGTGATAGTGAATCAAGTACAAAATACAATAGTTCCACTAATATGTATTCAAAAATTATTGATGAACATAATCCAGCGCGGTCCTCTGTAAATTTAACTGAGAAAGCTGAATTTGAAAAAAGTAGTGATAATGGAACTGGAACTCGACAGGATCAACATCAAAAAACAGTAACAATGCAAACTGACAACACTGATGAAAATATTGGTGCTTCTAATAGAACTACACTTAAATTAACACTTGTCCCTCCAAATCTCGATCCATCAGTAAAGGTGTTAACCTCTTCTCCTGTAAGTTGTCAGGATCTAGGTATCACACGCACACCTTTAAGAAGTTCACGATCGAATCTATACCCTCTAGTTGTAAAGTATGATCCTAACCGTACAGCAATTCAAGATGAATCATCACAGTATCAAACATATACACATCCTAATCTTGTTAAAGATTTAAATAGAAGACTCTGGTTACCTAGGGATCCTCTTAAAAAAATTACTATTGATGATACTGTTGAACTTACTCGTGCATTAACATCAAGTGAAGGTGGAAGTGGAATTGTTGGATTTTGGGGAGAAGCTTCAACATATTTGAATGAAGCGAAGGTTAGTATGTATGGGGTACATGAATTTCTCCCTTCACCACATCAACGAGATGCAACTGGTAGTACAGGTGGTGAAGTACCTTATCACCATAGAAGAAAAACTACATCAAATGTGGATCCCGAAACTAGCGCTGATGATAGTAATGAAGAATTTTGCGATGATGGCATAGTTAGCTTAAAAGAATTCTTTAGTGGTGAATTAAGATCTGGAGAATTATC